GGTGGGGTGAATATGTCTCTTCTTGTTCCTAGTGCTAATGCCAGGAGCTACTAGTAGCTTCTTGCTCCTTAGTAGCGATGGCCTCCAACCTAATAGCGATGGCCTCCAGCTTCTTGCTCCTAGTAGTAGGTTTTGGATATGTTTCAGTTTCTGAAATATCTCGCAACCAAAGAACAATCACCCGGCCTTTGAGGCAACGATGCGACCACCGGCCTGCTGTCTGAGGATGCAAGTCACAAGATACGATGGGGAACATAATTAACTTATTTTTGCTCAAATGATCATAATGCCCTACTCAGGGCGGTGTCCATCCTGGCTGCTGATGCCATGGGCCATGGGCCATGATTTTGACCCTTGTACCCACCTGTCCCAGGAACTTGGTAACCTGGTCGATAGTGGTGGTAGCTCGCCTCTTCTCGCGGCCTTGTCAGCCATCGGGCCACCGCCCTCAGCACGAAGAGTGGCAAAGCAAATGGGCGAAACAGCTGGTTAGAATGGTCCCTTCAATGCACCAAAATGCCTCTTACAATGCAAAACTCCCAAGCTTGACATGACAGGGGAACAAAGGAGTGGTTTTACAAATCATGGAAATGTGTGTGAGTGTGACGATGTGTGAGTGTAGACCGTGTACAATTCTATACCTGGTATGTGTATATATATATATATACATATGTGTAAGTGGAAGCTCTTCCTGCTAGGTACACTGCCAACCCTTTAGGGATGCTTGGCTATCACTTCCCTTCCGCAACATGTAGGGGTGGAATGTGGAAGAACGAGAACACACAGCAAACGGAAGGAAGGGGTGTGATCAGAAGGACTCTAAACAATCATTTGGATCAATCACTGTGGCGTGGTGGAGCAAGTGCAACGCTATACACTCACAGGATTGGGCACTTTCAACTCAGCAACCCTTGTTGTTTCATATTGGTTCCCATCGCTCCCCGCCATTCACCCACTCCCTGAACTGTGCGTTGGTCGTGCCCAGTGGCTTGACGTCTTCCACGGAACCGCTGCCAGAGCCGATGCCCGAACGGAAGTTGAACCTCGCCGAAACCCAGCATGTTCAGCTCATGTTGCGGCTGCTGAAAAGGTGTTCATATTGGATCGAAGTACGTAGACGGTTTTTCAAGGGTTGACGATAGTTCAAAACCTCAGGGTTGTGTTTCTTTGGTGGATCCGGGCACGTCCCAGTCATATCCCTACTACACGGTACGTCAGCCTGGGTCCTTCCGAGAAAAGAATCACAGCTTAATCATTGCCACAGCCAAGAAAAGTCCCCTCTAAATTGCCCTCAAAAACTGCATGATGAGGGACCTGATCCGCTTGAAACAAGGAGATTTAAGCTATGATGACTGTTATGCCATATTATGCCGCCTATTGACATTTGACAGCTTTTGGGGTACGAGGTGACCCTCATATCATGACCGGAACTGCCTGCTTGCATCTGATACCCCCCAAATGTCCTGCTAAGGAAGTGGAATGAAGCAGGCGGGCGGCTACAGTAAATACATATAAATACATTGCAACCTGGAACCAAACCTAAACTGCTGCTTAGTATGCACACAAACCATCCGAGGACTAGGATATATAATATAGTCCGTGGCTCCTTGGAAGTATCTATGATCCATATATATATATACAAATATACATATATATATATAATATATACTTGTCAAAACCTACCCAATAGCAACCAAATCACAACATCTCATCCAACATAAGTCCAAGTGGCCGACACTGCCGGAATATGTTGCCGACATTTTAACGTGTCATTTCGCCGGAGTTGATTTTCTTCGTTCCCTTTTGAGTGCTCGTTCGCTCCGACGAAACGGTCTGCATGACTCTACCAAACCCTCTCACAGGATCGGAGAGATTTGGACGTCCTCAACGCGCCTGTGCATCAAACTGTTGCCAAAAAAACAGAAAATGCGGAAACATGTTTTTGCCTACGGGTGTAAAACTGAACGTGTGACTACTGCGATTTTTGAAGTTGATGCTACGTGAAAGGTGGGGGGTTGGGTTGGGGTGGGATGAGGCATATTGACGTTCGTTTGCACTTGCTTTCTGAAGCTGATGCTACGTGAAAGGTGGGGGGGTTGGGGTGAGGTGGGATGGGGCATATTGACGTTCGTTTGCACTTGCTTCCTGAAGTTGATGCTACCTGAAAGGTGGGGGGGTTGGGGTGAGGTGGGATGGGGCATATTGACGTTCGTTTGCACTTGCTTCCTGAAGTTGATGCTACCTGAAAGGACGGGTGGGCTGATGTGGACAACTAATACTAAGGTTATCTTCGGTTTCATAGCATTGTTATCGGTTTCATAACATTGTAATCGTTTTCATAGCACTGTCATCGCTTTCATAATACCGTCATCGTTTTCATAACATTGTCATCGGTTTGCCAACATTGTCATTGGTTTCATAACATTGTCATCGAATAGTCGTGTGATTAAAATGGGGTGGGGGTGGGGGTTGTGATGGAATGAGGATGTGGATGTCATGGAGAACATAGTCATCGATTTCACAATAAGTAATCTTCGGTATCATAGCATTGTCATCGGTTTCACAACATTATATCTCGTCGGTTGCATAACATTGTCATCGTTTTCATAACATTGTCATCGATTTCATCAAAAAAAACATCATCGAACAAGCAAAAGTACTGAGAGGGCTTGCACTTTTGAATCAAAATTTGCACGACTACACGTGTGATTCCACACCCGGCGGGATGCTTTTGTTTGACATATACTGTACTTACTACTGTACTTATATAATCTTATATATATATGAGGTATATGTGTTTTTGTATAATACTTCTCGTAGAACATGATATACATCTTACAGGTCCCCGTCCAGGCCTTTGGCCTTTGATATTGAATGTTGCTGATGACTATGCGGAGAATAGTCCTCCGCAATGGCTTGCGCCGGGCAATTTGGGGCGCCAAAAAAAGATATCCCAAACACTTGCGAACAATCCCCTCCATTAATCGCAGAACAGGTCTTTAGAACGACTACTCCTTTCTCGCTCGGCACACGTCTGGTGAGCCTTCCAATCCAGCAGCGCAATGAAGCAACAAAAGCAGCGCCCGTGGCTCTCCACGCCCCTCACAGACTCCGAACACAGACCCGACGTAGCTTCTCCTGACGGTGCTACAGCCGGCGTTGCCAAACCTGGGCGGTTTTGCGTCGCGCTCGCGAGCGCCAGCAGCGTTGCCCAGCCGCGTCGTTCGGCGTTGTCCGTCGATGTTTCAATGAACGGACGACTGCACGTATGGACTGGGCGGCCGGGGGGGAACCAAGCATGTTGGTAAGTCGTATGATGCACACTCTGTTGTTGGATTTTGGATGTGCAAGGGGCTACATTGATTGTATTGCGCGCAAGGGAAATGCCCACAAGGAAAATGCGTGGACGTCCATGTTAATAGAACATGCTCCAGGAACAGGTAACATCAGAGGTATGTCCAAATCATATCTTTGGCCTCAACTTTCTTAGTTAGGCAGCCTTATAAAAGCCCTGACACGAATGTGTTGAACATCCGCATAAAACTTCTTTGATTGCTGCCTGCGCTGAATGGATCAGTTCAGCCAGGTTGATCTGTAGCACTCTGGTATGTCACAACTTCTAACTGAGGTCGCATGTTCATCCACCCTGACTGCTATGTCATGCTGTGACATCCCACACTTGTGGCTGACCAGCTAGCTATACCTCTCCAAAGGAGCAGCTGGAGGTTGAGGCTGGGACGTGTGGCACACCTGGCCAAAGCCGGAATCGCTGGTATGTTTGCCTACAGCTATCATCCATACATACCCTAGGGTTCCTGAGAAAATGCTTGGGATAGGTATTGGGGGTCTAACTACCTTTTGAGGATGTGGTTGGAGTCCTAAGGATAGATTGTTCGGGCAGGATCCTGAAAGTCTCTGTCGCCACGTGCATCGTCCTAAAAAAAGTTCCATGCTCTGCCTCTACCCTGCGGCAGGTGAAGCAATCCAATGGGGAGCTCAATCTATGCAGGTGCGGGATCATACATAAAGGACGGTCTTTCCTGTTTAGTTGCAGTTAACCTACTATGGTATAATTTATAAAAGGACCAACACTGTATACTATAGTCATTCTGGGTCTCTGAGCCAAGACATGGGCGGGCACCAAAAAGGTGAGGTTGGTTGGTCAGTTGACGACTGCTTCTATGCACTCTGGTTTGGGCTGTCATTCTTGAGCGATCACCGTGTTGGATGGGTCAACGTCATTCAATACTCTTTCTTCGCTCTGCTTCAAGACTTTGCGGTTGGATTGAGTCGAACCCTTCAAACCGAAAATAGACACCTGCAATCCCGGCCAAGCATGTAAGGCCGAATTCTTCAAACAGGATCTTGCATCAGCTTGAAACTTTGAAATCTGCCAGGTGTCCAGGAAAGATTCATAGATCCTCCCCTGCCCTGAATTAAACAATTGGCCTCCCGGCCATCGCGCCCCAGCGGCCATCGGGGCGTCATCCCGCCTAGGCTTGCCAGGCCAAGTAGCCTGCCGTGAGGGCCATCACAGGAGCTCCAACTTGTGATGTGCCGCTGAGACTGCCATCCTCAGTCGGCTGAGAAGTGGCCTGACTCGGATGGATGCCCCAACACTAAGGGGAACAATTTGAATGGGAAACACTCGCAGCTTGGACTCTGGTAAAAAGAGATGTGATCAACAGTCGGCCCTACACGTCACAGTCCGGAGCAACAGGGCAGAAGGCGGGATTGCCTCGTGCACAATGCACACAAGAAGTGGAGGGACCTTAGGGACCTTTGACAGCATCAGTCATCAGTGCCGCTCAAAGCATCTAAGTGAGAACCAGTTCCACGACTTACACTATTGGACGTAGACATGCTCATTTGACGGCTCAGTCATGAGAAATGGACCTTCTCAAGACCCAAAGTCTTGCGGACAGGCTAGTTCTATTGTTCATGTTGGTCACCAAAAGGCTGTACATATGCGTACATATATATATATAACTATATATATATTATAGTAATATGATGCAATATCTATACAATAAATTAATGTCTTCCAGGTGCCAAGCATCTGAACAAGAGCCGGTATAGGCAAAGTATCCATCTGGAAGCGCTGCGCTGGTGGAGCCATTCACACAAGTGGAGCCACAGGGAAGCTGGACATCAACAGAGGTGCCAGTGCAGTCGAGACTGGTGCTATAAGTCTTGCTGACCTAAGCGTCGAAATCAGTGTGCGGTCTGAAGCAAGCGCCGCATTTGTGCGACTTTGAGCTTGAAGGAAACTACATGACACAAACACTTTCTGAGTTGTGGTTGTGGTTGCTTAGAATTACAGTATATTGCGTGCGCTCTCACCACCTGCGAAGCGGTTGATTGGTGGGATGTCCAGCTACTATGATTCTGCATGGGCTTCGATCTAGCGAATACATCTGCTCTCTTTGCATCCGTTGCCATATGTTGGGCATGTCTGTGTAGGCACAGAATCACGCCAAGTACATACAGTACACCGGCTTTGAGCCTCAATACTCGATTCTACTCCAGGGTTAAGCATCCAGGGGCATCCAGCTGGACCCCGCCCACGCCCAACTCCAAAGTGACCAATACTGCCACAAAACATAACAATAATAATGAACATAAGACAAAAAGACAAAAATAAAGGAAAAAAGCAAACTCCAGGTAAAGACTGCCAGGTGACCAAATTGGCACCACTCATTTCCACTTTCTGTGACATAGTTCTCACCTGTCCATTCTCCATGCCTCCGGTGGCTCGGCAGCCCAAGGGCAGCGTGTAGGTGCCCTGAAGGGCGTCCGAAGTGCATCCAGTCGAGTAGAAGTTGATGCTCACCACCTTCGTTCTGGCCAGGTGGGCCAAGACACGCAACCTGTTGGTGGCCTGTGCTCTTCTTGTGATTGAGGTTTCTCTCTATTGATAAGGCGAGGATGGGGGAGAGCAGCAAAATCTGCTCAAATCATGAACATCTGTTAGACTGTTGATGTATCTTTCCAGGTTTGTTTTACAAGGACTCCCTTGAACAATGTCAGCAAAACACATCATAACCATGTCTGTATATATATTGAATATGCATAATATACCACATCATAACCATGTCTGTATATATATTGAATATATACATAATATACAGTATGCAAACATATATGAATATATATATATACATACTAGTTATAATAAGTATACATCCGAATGATTTGCATAGGTTCCCTCGGGTTTTAAAAAAGGACACAGTGCCAAGCCACAGTCACATCTGCACAAGAGACCTTGGGCGCCCACACTCGGACAGTCCGACCGACTCCTTCGGTACGACACTCGATTCACGATTTGCTCACACGAAGTTCAGGCAAAATGGGCCTGTCGATGCATCCAAGTGGCATATTTGTCGTTGTTCTCGCTGCAGGTGGAGAGAGGAGTCGAGGAGTTTGAGCTTAACGTAGTGGTGCAAGCCGAGTCGTTGTAGGCTTGGAAGGTCACAACGTCGCCGATACAGGTAAACCTCAAGTCCCAACCGAAGCCGTCATTGGAAAGTGTCGGAGTCACAAAGCTCGGGGTGCCGGTAGGTGCCCTTGTCACATCCACTCACTGGATGGGACTAAAAGCCACCCCGTTGTGACTTCTGGTGGATATGTCTGGTTTGATGGTGCGATTCAACTGTTGTCCAATGGTATAGCGGGGGATAAGGAAATCAGGTGGACAAATGATGAAACATGATGAACAACATGAAAAATGACAAGTTGTTGAGAATTACCAGCTCGATCTTGAGAGGAGAAGCTTCCCATAGGTTCCGTCCCTGTTTTGGTTGCAGCTGGTGTCCATATACTCGGTGCGCACCACTTGGCCGCCACAGCTGGTGCTTTCATAGCTGTTCCTCTGGATCATGACCGCAGACTCGGCAACTGCGAGGAGAGCACCAAGCAGCAAAGCTATCATCGTGTGATGTTGGCCGGATGATACTGGATGCACTCTTCAAGCAAGACCTAGGGAGCCAAAAGCCTGAAAGGAGCTCGGACTTGGATCCAAGAACGACCTGGCTCGGGTGACGTTTCCAACCTGTTGTGGCTACTTGAAAGGTTGTTTGGAATCAGAACCACCCACCCAAGGAATAAACTGAAACAAAGTTGATACTTGATACTATACCAGCATCTTCCAACCAATCTCCAGGTTTCTGAAGGCATCTTCGGGTGGAGGATGGTGGAGGTGGTGACCTGTGGGAGAGTCGCCAAGCAACGGTCGCCCCACTCCGTGGCGTTCCCCCCCTCTGCCAAACACGGCTGTAACGAGTGGCGTGCAAAGCACCCCATAAGTTGAAGTAAGTTGGGCCAGGCTCCAAGGCCTTGCTAGATCTTTATCTATAAGAATAAATACTTAACACATATAAAATATATAGGATATGATCATGGGATACTTTTTCACACACCTATAAACGTTAGACTGTGTCATTTCACTGGGGGTATAGATGTCAGTTTCTGAGGACTCCACCGTACGCGGGTGGGGATCCGCCATGCTGCCGCCCAAAGGCCTTGGAGGAGTAACAAGCTCTGTATCCCAAGTTGAAAAGGATTGGAAAAAGGATGCAAAAGGAACCAACATGAACCAACATTTTTTTCACAAAAAGGCGTTCTTCAAGATAAGATCCGCAAATCATCTCGAAAACAAAGAAGACATTGCAAAGAAAATAACACCCGAACTGGTGGCCATGTTGCCTGGGACGTCATCTTCTAATCTGGGACTGAAGGCTGTTTACGCCAAGAATTCGCAGTCCATCTGTTCGAAAACAATATATATATATATAATCACATGATATTATACGCATGTACGCGTATTTACATGTAATGGTCTGAAAAATGATTGTTCGACTGGGGTGTGTGGGGCCGGGCGTGGGGCGATGATTTTTACGCATCCCCACCAGCCTTTCAGTCCGAGCAACCCCCAGGGGTGGGTGGCGATCACGGCAATGGGGCTCTGCAACGAGATGTGGATCTGCAGGCGGAAAGGCGGAAAGGAGGAGCGGGTACGGAGGTTGACCGAGGAGTAGGTCCATTTCGGTTCAAGCACAATGAGTACTTTTGGATCTTTTGGAGGATAGAGTGGTTTACAGTACATGTCCTTCTTGCAATTCTTCGGGATGTCTCGGTCCGGATGTAATTTACACAGGCACAGTCAAACAATGGTGCATCCGCCTCTCTGGGCAACAAGGTCTGCCCTGTTTTGAACCAACATCCCAGGGCTCGCCCGCTTTCTCCCTGCCTGAGCTTCGATGGTGGTTCCGGCCACAGGTATTCGATGGAAAGCTTCATCAAAGTGAGCCTCCCATGTGCCACGCGTCAGTCAGTCAGCGCGCCTTTCCACTACGGTCTAGACATGGCATTGTCTTGGGAACTTTGGGTGTCAAATGCTAGCTGCTATCAATGGTTGCTGGATTCACTGGATATGTGTGAGATATGAAGCAGTAGGTGACCTTGGTGCAAATCAGCACCATGGGATCAGTACGCACTGACTCTCGGGCTTGTGCTCCACCCTGGATCCGCAAAAGAGAGGGCCCAAACACGAACCGCTAACAAGGCCCTCGGCAAATGTTATATAAATCAAAATGTCAAATCTGCATCGCAAACAACCACACCCCCGCAAGCAAACTAACATGGACCCTGACTGTTCACAAATGGTTTCGACCATTTTCCGAAGACCAACTACAGTCCAGTGGTTCATCTGCAGGGTATTCTTCACTACTCACCAGGTAGTACGCGGCCATCTTTAAAGGACCGGCCCAGTCGACTCTGTCGGCCACAATTCTAGCCAAAAACCATCACAAAAACCTATGGCTTAGCCGCCTTTAGCCTTGATACCTTGATGAGCAACATGCCAAGGCTTGAGCAGTTGAAGGTCATGTTTCTGGAGCTGGACACTGATGGCTCAGGTTGGACCAAGGATCAATGCTTGCACTTGTGTAAGTCTCAGTCAACTTGGCTAAGCCATGTGGGTGTCCTATGTTACCCCGTGGGTGTCGAATGGAATTTTGGGGCTTTGTGCACCCTTTGTGCGCCTACCGGGCAGACCGGGCAGGCAAATCTTGCCCGACCTACAGCCTTAGCTCAGTTCTGGCCAAAAAGAACCCTTCAAAGATCCAAAAGCAGAGTGATCAGCTACAAGCTGCAACAAAGCAACCTAATAAAACCACCGCGAGCGACCCTATTGCCCAACCACAATGACGGCAAACACCAACCCAAGTCCTCACCCTTCGGACATACGTCAGGATCTTCCTGGGTCACTTGGTCCATGTGTGTCCATGTCAAGTTTGTTTCAACTTATGGACACACATGGACCAAGTGACCCCGTGTCGCTATTATCAACATTGAAACGTGGGTCCAAGTTTGTTTCAACATCAACTGACAAGTTTGTCGCTAATATCTCGCATGACCCCGTGTCCCATTCCACTGCATCGCTGTCCCACGGGACTCAACCCTCCTGGGACTCCCCCACTGGCGCCCCCGGGCCGACGCCCCGTGCGAGCACGCCGGCGGGCGGCATGACCAGGCTGAGCCGAAGGAGAAGCGGGGTGGAGCTGGTGGAAAGCTTCAGCCAGTCGTTCAGGTCTCCACGGTTCCCAATGTTGACTGTAACCCCAACCCCCGTCTCTTGGATCAAATATCTTTTTGAGGCGGACGTTTCATCGCCGTAGGAATCCAACTCTGGGATGAATCTGTAGTGAATGGCCGATCTAAAATACAATACTTGGAGGGATCAACCTCAGGTGGTTTCCAGATGCTAAAAATAGTGTTTTACAGCGTTCACCCCGTAGTCTCCATTCACCTCCAGCCAGCTGGGGCTGGACACGAAGAGATGAACAGGTGAAACTCAGAACCCTGGGTATTTGAGGTGCTGGAGTTGCTGACTGTGGTAGTGTTTGTGGTAGTGTGTGCAGCTGTGCACACCAGAAGTTCCAACTTATCCATAATGATCCGAAAGCAATCACCAATTCCACAGCAGGAGATCCAAACAATCCACGACTTGTGCTAGATGTGTGATGCTTTGGGGTGACCAACGGCCATGGTCTAAACCACGTGGGCCGAGATGTTCTAGGAGCAAGTAGCTACTAGGAACCCGGGCATCGCTACTAGTAGCATTCTTACTACTAGTAGCAAGAGGCCGAGATGTTCTTTTATGGGTCGGTTTTCTGGCCGAGCCCACCAGTAGCACAGCACCAATGGCCAACTTCCATCCCAAGCAGGACAGATCTCCACATCTCCATGGTTGGCGGCTGTTTTTGTCTGACCGTTCAGCACTGGCGCTGTATAATTCGAGAGGCAGGAAAGCTCATGCAGCTTGCATTTCAGGCACTTTGGACCTGTTGGCTTTAAACAGGTCGCCGAACAATTGAGTAAAGCCTGGAGTAAATGAACTGGATGAACTATAGGTGCGTTGTGAGTCATGAGACGCTTTGGTAGCAAAATCAACCAAAAGTCCAACCAGCAGGGAGACTCTAGAAATTTAGAAGAGTTCATACTGGGACCTAGCATGAGTGATTGGATAGCAACAACATGCCAAGTGGGGATTTTGGACACCGGAACGGGAACGTCCAGAGTTTCGATCAATCAATCTGCTTCAGGAAGGCCACGTCGCTCAGAAGGCCAAGGCCACCGGAACGCATCCCAGTGCTGAGGGAATCACCAACGACGATGACGAGTGTGGATCTCTCTCTGCACCAGGTTTGTGCAAACTCTAGACTTTAGACATGCCCAAACTCTGGAAATGAAGAACAACTGAAAGGTTTGGTATGGTTTGGTAAAATGATGTAACATGTAAAATGTCAAATTAACAAGTCCAAACAAAAAAGTGTGGAAGTCTGAGACGGCATCTCCATGCTCTCTCTCTCTCTCTGCTGGGAACCTGGGTGTCCTATCTCTGTTGGACTCCATGTGCTACTCCATGTTTATATATCCATGGTTTGCATATATGGCTGGGCCAAATGAGTGGTGGGTGCGGTCTAATCCCTCATCATGTTCTCCGCAAAGCGGTGCAAGAATATCAAGAATCGTCGGACAAAGACATGGTTCACCTGTCAGGGTGGCTGGTCCTCACTGACTGGTCCGGTTCCACCGATCGGCCACATGCGGAACAGGGAAGCTAACAGTTTTTGTTCCTAGCAGCTTATTGTTTTTAATAGCTTCTTGTTCCTAGTAGCGTGGCACCTGTTACTAGTAGCGTGGCACCTGTTACTAGTAGCGATGCACTTGTTCCTAGTAGCTTATTGTTTTTAATAGGAAGCTAACTGGTCAGTGCTGGTTTTACAATCCAGTGCTGGTCAGTCAGACCCTCGTGAGGGCTGCCATGCGCCCGCTGCCATCCGGTGACCGACCCAACATCGCTCAGGGGGAAGTATCTTCCGCTGCGGCATTGGCTGCTGCCAGCGCATTCTGGCAGATCATGACAGGTCCGGATGCGACAGATTTCCGAAAGTGACCTCCACGATTTCCGCACCCGTTCTGGCGGGGGATGACATGACACTTCCATGTGCATGAAAGCAAAAATAGTCAAAAGGGCCCAAATGTTGTAGCATGTCAAGGTGACGTGTATAGTCTAGAGAGACCACCCCACCAGTAGATGTCAATCATATTCTTTGCTACTAGGCGTTGGAGGCTCAGTCACGTTGGCTTAGAGACGTTCACGCAGCCTCTCACACAAATGTGGTGTTTCTATTTGTTTCCATTTTTTTTATGAAAAGAAATACGCGCTGGGACAAACGCATGAAAAGAACTATGGAAACACATATGAATTCTGGAGATGCACTTTTGCCAAGGATTTGTTTTGGATTGCTTCTCTTTCTTTTGCTTTGGGAGAATGACAGCTGGCATTCGGCAAGAGCAATGTGCAATCAAACCTTCTATGATTCTAGGCTTCTTTCCTTTGTTTTTTTGTGTTTACCTCTTTACCTCATTCGTCTTCTCTGTCACTTGTGTGCAGGGCTCTTGAGGTGCTTATGCGCAGGACTCAAGGGGTTCAAGCAAGATGGCGGGGTGGGGATCGGTGGTGTCCGCGCTATGTAGGCGCCAGGACATGGCTGACCAAGTTGAGGAAGAGGCGGCAGCCCTGCACTCTGAGTCTGATGGCGAATCAAGCCAACGAACCGATGGATCAGATCCGTCGTTGCGGGTGTGGTGGTTAATCAACTGTGGTCCACCACCCGATCACCTCGTTTCAAAATCACACCCTGGAGGATCGAATCAAAGCCCCAAATCCACAAATCATGCCATGATGAACCTCACTCCCAGTCAGATGTCTCCCAAACACTTACAAAGAAAGCTGGTCAGAACACCCCAAGTGTCAAAGGAATTCAATCATCTTCCCAAGCATTCCCAAGCTCTTTTCCCTTTCTGGATCCTTCTGGCAGTTTCAATGTTTGGCATCACCCAAGCACCCTCCCTTCGCATCTCGGCCTCCACCTGCATCTCCCGCTTCCGCTGAGCGAGCCCGACAAATGACTGCGGCGCAGCCGCCTCTGGTGGTGGAGAGATGGCAACGGTTGACACCTCTACCAACCACCGTTCTTATGATAGATTCAGGAAGATCTACTACTGTAAATGAAACTTCTATAAAGAAATGTTCAGAACATGTATAACATGTATATCCGCCTATACAATACCACATCACTGCATTTATCTGGCTAAGCAGGGTCCAAATGCAGTGGTGTAGCCGACTTTTCTGGACAGCAAACAAATAACACATCCTACAATCTAAGAGCCTTACTTTGGACATATGTCATTTCATCGCGCCACATGTTTTGCATTGTTTTGCAACCGATTCTTGTTCTTTACAATTTTGTACACAAAAAGCCAGGTTCGATCTCGGGTTCGATCTAAGGCACCTTGGTTGAAAAATCTGGTGCCGAAGTCATTTCTTGGAGCCAACTGAACTCATCCGAGTGTTGCGGTGTTGCTGCTTGGCCCTTCCGCCATGTCGACACCGGGAGTCCGCTAGACTCCGCCTCTGAGAAGTCCACTAACAAGTTCCCGTGCACAGCTTCCTGACGTCAGCTTCCCGCGGACGTCCCGCGGAAGGTCAAAAACGGACGGTTTCAGGAGTCTTGACGGTATGACTGACAGTATGTGGTGTGCGGTTGGTATCCAAGGGGGCTCAGAACTCCTGGCTCAACAAGTGGGTTCGCCAACAAAGGTCTTTGCGAGTTGAGCCAAAGGAGTTCTGAGGACAAACGTTGAGCCTCTCTGAGGTGCGTGACCGCTAAATTATTGAACTACGTTTAACTTACAATATCTATGGACCTCAAACAAGGAATTTGCTTCTCCTGCGAAGAAGTCTCGGGTCCCTCCGCTTTGGCGGCCCAAAAGTCGACCGTCGACCTCCAATTGGCACACATCCTGATGCATCACTGCCCAACCCATGTTATTGCAATGTATATATTGCAAGCAGCTTCTTCAAAGTGACCTTTTTGGAGTCCGCAAGTGACCTGTTACAGGCCTAAGTGACCTCAAACCAGGATGTCAAAAGGTCACTTTGAAGAACCAAGAATGTGGTACATCGGTTTTGACTATCCATGTCCGAAAATGGTCTTGTCTGGATTAAACCTGTGAGAGCTGGGAGACAAGGTGACAACAAGGGAGGCACCTGCCTGTTGCTGGCTTGCTAAGAACACCCGCCCTTGTTACATGCCCCCTTAATCACATACGAAAACAAAACACAACAAAAGTTGGCAATAATCAAGAACATGTATATAAAAGCAAGTTTTGTTGGTTCTTATCCTGCTCCTGCGCATCTTGTATCACAAAACCATACAAAACCTCTTGGGACCTCTACAAGACCCCCCTGCCGTCGGAAGTGAAGCTGACATAAGGCCTCGTAGGGCACCCATGGCTCCTTTTTGGGGAGCTACCATCAATGGACAAAAGAGTGTGGGCTAGACTACGCTTGTGGGTCCCTCAGTCATCCAGGTTCTTGACCTTGACCTTGACCCTCAGCCCCCTCGCCCCTTCCGCCCCTTCCGCCCCTTTACGGCCTCTCGCCATTGGATCAGCAAAGGAACCTCGGGAAGCTGTGAAGGAGAATCCACTGGACCCGCAAACCGAACGCATGGACCCGCTGGCATCCATATAGACCTGTCAACGGCCGTGTGGAAGGTGCTGGTAGGGCATGGTAGGACCGTAGGACCTATGTCTTTCTTGGCGATTGCGGTTAGCACCTGTGAGTCTCAGCATAGTGTAATAACAAAGGTAAACCAAAAACCTGTACCTAAGTGGCCATCTTCTGCTTCCAAGGACTAACCAATTGGTTGCCCCCAGTGCCCACACATGTCCAAATAGAACTTCTTTCCGAGCGACTCTTGATAGGCAACTCTCCCAGCCCCCCGGCCCTGTTGGCACGCCAAACCAAGCAGCATTCTGACAAAATCAAGCTCTAAGGCTTAATTCGAAACACATCTTTACACTGTGGATTTTGTTTCGGATGTTTGCCTCATGATCCTCCTGTTTGGTTCCTGGCAGCGACCGCTTGAGGATCACGAGACCTTCCACTTGAGAGTAAGTGAGGAGCCGTTTTCAAAGGGAATCAGTACAGGTGCTGCCCGTCGGGGCGCACAAAGAAAGCATGTTGGACCCAAAGTGCCCAAAGACTAGTTTTACCACCTTTGGTGAGGTGGAAGAAAAGCGTCTGGAAATGTCTAGAAATTGCCAACAACAACTCTCATTTGATGATCCCATGACGGGAAACGTGCGGATCCTCTTCCAAAACAAACGCAACAAATAGGCACTCGTGATTGCCCCGCTTCTAGATTCCAAAGCCCCCAAGAAAAGTGCAACCTCTTTGGTCCACGGTGAACTTTCCCACCTTCTTTACCCAAATAGGAACAAGAAGCTAGGGGCTCCTGGCATCGCGTACTAGGAGCATTCTTACACTCTTCCGCATCTCCCTGCAGTGTGTCGCACCGCCGACGTCACCACGTTTCCGCCGGTCGCGCGACCGCGGTGAGCGGAAGCGCTTCGGGTCACCCCGGCGCTCGCATGGGCCCATGCTTGGTCCCAAAGTTCTTTCTTGTCCTCGGACAGCTTGGCCTCCAGCCGGTGTGAACAAGGCATGGGATCTGGGGGTTGGTTGGAACTAGGTCTTCGATCTGGTTGATCTAATGCCAAACTGGTATAGAGTTGTCATGAGTTGTCAACCATCCGTTCAAATCATGTTCAATTGGAATAAACAATGCTGACATTGACATGTGGATTGAATAACAAACATCATACTCCAAACATCTCCAAACCAAACATCTCCAAACATAATATGCAAGGGGTAATGAAGGGTGGGGCATCCTGGTCCAACCTGGATATCCACCGGCAATGATGAAGCTGCAATTACGAACCCAAACATGTTCTTCAGCATCTTCAGCTGATTTCGTCCCGGCTTGTACCGCTGCTCGGTGTTGGAACAAAAATTTGTTTGGGTGTTGGGGAAGCTTTAGGCATCTAATCCAAGAACCTGGCAAAGCCTTCGAAGCGATTAGGAGGCCCCGTTGGCCCGCCCAGATCCGCCCAGCCGGGGCTCCAAACCCGCTCGGTGGAGGCACGACGAGAGGCACTGGCCACTGCATGGGCCGCTGCCTTGGCACATTGGTGGACCACCTGCTCGGCACGACGCGGGGGGTGGCTGTGACAGCAGTCAAGCTCGTCTTTTTTTGGTACATCAAAAAAATAGTAACTAGAAGCTTCCTTATGGGAATCGTTTCAGCTGTAGTAACAAGATGCCTCTCTCACATTCCTCTGGTCCTTTTCTCTGAGATGCGAGATGTGAAGAATGAAGGGTTGGCACTGGCACGATGCTGATGGATGACTGCACCACCTAGAAACCCTCTCTTAACCAGCTCTTGTCTATGAATTGGTTTCCAGGAATCACGCCCTCGTGTGAACAAGACCAACCAACCTGGTGCGTTCCGGTGGGGGGATGTCTTCGACCTTCCGCTCCGGCAGCCGGCGACCTGCAGGGCTTCTTTCTCCCGGTCCCTGCGCAAAGCGACAATGTCCTGTCGTTTGAGCGTGAGAGCCTTTGGTAAAGGTCGGTTGACAGGTTGTGACACTCCCACGCACTCTAGACTCTAGACTGAGGGGAGTTATTTGCTGGAGACCACCCCCTATGGCCGACATAGGTAAATGTAGCGATAAGATCTCATGTGTCAAATGTGCGAATAGCATGTCTAATTATACTTCTATGCTCTTCTATTACCATCTATTACCTTATCTTGCTATTGTACCCTTTTTGCAAACATCCGGAAGATCTTTCCACAAGTAGCCGCGTTCTGGGACCTCAGGAGTTCTGGACTGCCGGTCTCGCACTCCACGCGTCCGTCGATTCTCCTGCTGCTCCGGCGGTCTTTTGAGGTCAACGAGCTCATCCAAGGGCCTCTGCTCGGTCGGAGGATGAAGGAGGCCTGTTCACGGTCGGAGGCGTTCTGGAAATTTCAGGAATGTCTACATCCGGCTGGGGTTCTAGGATTCATTGTGTTTTTGTGGGGGCCCTCGAAGGCAGGGTACATTATACTATGTATCACTAGAAGTTCCAATAAGCCCACCTGAGCGGATGCAAACACATGCTTTTTGCGCCCTTCGAAAAAGAGGTTTGCGACCTGAGGATTGGCCGAACGTTGATCCATCCATTCGGAGACATGAATCCGTCGCAAAAACCATGTCGAAGGGTTTTGCTAAAGCTATTCCAATTACAGTAGTTGATTTAACAACAAATCGTGAACCAAGTAACGTAATGACCTCGTCTCGCAGGTTCAGTTCACCATATTTCACCCACACATTTGCTACATACATCATGTATCATAATGCATCATCACGTTGAGAAAGGTGAATGTTAAGGCTTAATATTAAGGGAGCAATGCATTTGTTCGAGCGCACGGTGCAAGGTATAGCCTGACCTCAAAAAGTAAGAGATGCATTCCTTCAACTAAGCCCAATTGATAACATTTCAATAAAGGAACACGACATCAAGACTAGCACCCCCCCGAAGCAAATGCGAATACACACAAATGTCTCGAAAACGAGACTGAGTCCCCTTGCTGCGACACCTCTCCAGACGCAGTGGCCTGGCGGGTCATCTTCGGGTGGCTGTGGCCAAGAATGATGCCAAACAATGCCAAACACACGATCGAAGACTGCACCAGGAGGTGGTTATGGACAAATACTTGTTGCTTACGATTTTACAGGAAAACCGTTGGGTTTTGGATGGTCAATACTTCTGCGGCGGAATTTGTTTGGCACTACAAATCGAACACACTCTCTATTATGTGGACTGCGGGGGCCCTATCTCGTTTAGACTATTTAAGTAGGAGGTCATGTCACAGTATCCCGTTCAGACTACTTTAGTAGCAACTCACACATTCGTTCAGACTACTTTAGTGATCCTTATTGTCATCAAGCAAAAGTATTTCGTTTATGTGGGGGCCCTATCTCGGTCACAAGCGAATACTGATGATAGACAAGCAAACTGAGCATGCCGCAGACTACTTTAATATATTATATACTTTAATAACACTTGTTGCCCACTTATATAGTGATGATAGTTTGCCGAGAGCTAAACAAAACACCCGATGACCGTCGATACACGTTTTGCCAATGACCTCCCAACAAATGAAGGCTCAGACTTTCCAAGATTGAGAAGTATTGCTAACACAGCTGCATCCGCGTTTTCGAGCAGAATGCTTTTGAACGGCAACAAATGGGTGGGCTTCTTGCATTCCAAACATCTTATAGAAGAGAAGCTCACTTAGGCTTGACATTGATGAAGTACTCCCGTCCAACAGCAGGTCCCTACATCTGAATTTCAATTAAGGTACGCCCCAGCCTCTTTCAAAGACGTCTATTATAGATAAAACAGGGGTCGTTTGATGGAGTCAGCACTCAGGTCAGCAAGCTAGTCCCAAGCATGTCCCAGGTCGCTTGATTCCCATGCATCCTCGAGGTCAGCATACTCCTCCGGAAGCTTGAAGAGTTTCTCGTGGTGGACCATGGCCTGCCACGCAGAAGAACTCGCCGCACGGGGGGTGTGAACGGGACACTCGTCTGCCGACGAGTCCTGCTTTCCAAGGCGCAGCGTCAAAGGTGGATTCATAGGTGTCCTTGAATGCAATGGCCTTGGGCACACCCAGCTGCCAGGCGTTTTTGGACCCAAGTTCTGGACAAACCGATCTTTGCTCGTCTGCAAGTGGTATGTTTACCTAATTGTTGTGTTTCCCTAACTTGGCATTCTCGTGGTGTCAACGATTCCCGACCCAAATCGATGAAATCCAAAACTTCCAACATAATAAGTACAAGTAGCTTGTGATCTCGTAGAAACCAATGGCCTGTTACCCCTAAGAATTCCAGAAAAGGACTTAACTATATATAAATATAGTGCAGTAGTTTGATAATGAACAAAATCAACTACAGTAGCTAGCTGCAACACACAAACACACAAACATAATCATAGCCATTTCATGTTATTTCTTCAAATAAAGGTTTTTGTATGTCATAGTCATAGTCATAGTTATTAGTCTATATTTATTTTTGTATGTTGTATTACAACTGTTACAAGTTGAAGCACACACACACACAGGTCGTTCGAGAGGCTCTTGAGGGAAGTTGTGCATCTTCTTCCTGTTCGTTCGCCCACCCAACTCTGAGGCTTCCCGGCCCCAGCAGCATCTGAGTCAGGCTCCGTCTGTGCAACTGGCGGATAGTAGGATAGCTGTAGTCGGTCGAACGGGTAGGTCGTATACGACCTCCCAGCGAACAACTTGGAGTCCTAGGGTTGTAGTTATAGTTCATTTCTACTCCGCTACTGGGCTCTGCCCTACCTGTCCTTGCGCTTGGAGATAATGTTTCTGGTTCCAAGGATTCAATTCGCACACTCTGGCCGGTTGCCTACCATACTCCTCTAACATCCTGCAACAATAACTAACACCAATTAATTCACACAAGTATACACAAGTATCAAATAATGTTCCAAACCACGGCCCACTTCCAAGCCCCAAATCCTCAGGCTCCCCATTTTGAGCTGCAGCACAGCAACGAGCATGAGTGCATCTCGGGACACTGTACATGGCGTGCGGGGTGCGTTCCGCCGCGCCAGCTGGACCGGTCTTACCCCGAGGGTTCGCAAAACCCAATGGCAAGCTGTCCCAAAGCCCAAGCTGGCCAGGTGCAAGGATGTCGGCGAACGATTAGCGGACCAGTTTTTTTCACATATCATTGGGTATAAAATGAGCGGATTCGGCATATTTACATTTTCGATGTGTCTACTATCAGGGTTCTGCTACAAGGATTTGACACCTTTCCTGGTGGATGTTGATTTGGCCGGGCATGTCATTTCATCCACGAATGAAGCTTGAGACAGTCCGACATCTATTCCAAACAGGCCATCTGGCGGCCGACCAGCTACATCTGTCTATATATGCAAAGGCATGTGTGTTATCTTCACCACTCATATCTTTCATGGTCTTCCGGCCGCCCAACGATGCGCCGATCGTTTCTCTACCGGCCAGTCAGCAAATCAGTTCGGTGGGTCCACTTTCGCACCTGGATCGAGACCGGGATGCGAATGGAGCCCGTTGTGCTTTGTTCTGGAGGTGTCCAAGGGGACCAAAGAAGCTTTCGCCCCAAAGGGTCATCGACTTGTGATCAACTTCACAGTTCTCCTTCTCAGCAGTTGACTGTGAAAAAACACATGTAGCCGCTCATGTCCGTATATCCACTCCTGGAAGCCACGAATTCATCCCACGTTGCATCTGTCGTGTCTTCGGTCATGGTTTAGCTCCCACCATGTCATGCATCTCTTGAGGAACCTCCTCAAAGCGGTTATGCGCATGAGGGGGCGTTCCAAATCCAACGTGACTTCCGGAGAGTAGGGCACCGTCCGACATGGATGGGCAAGCCGGTTTCACCAGGATCCGGTTCCAAGGGTATCTATCATCCGCCGTTTTCAAGCCTTGCATGCTTGCAAGGGCCTCAAGTGACCAACCCTTTTGGAACACAAATGAATCTCTCACCAACAAGTTCGCCACATCACCCAGGCCCGGGCTATACCCGACTCTAGCAGCTCAAACAAATGGGTCCAAGTCCAAGGGGGCTCTTCCGGAGTTCAGCACCCCAGCTCTCCAAGTCTTGGGTTTTCCATATGTTTTTTTCAGGTTCCCGGACGGCGTCGCCACACGGAGGTGCCTCAAGATGGGCTAGACTGACAGATCTTCCCCATTCTTCCTCCACGCCCAAGGCTTTCATTCCCTACAAAACTCAAGCACTTGATATAAACTCTTGACCAAAACTAGACCCACATCCCCAAAATTCGCACTTCACCTCACATTTCGGCACTGAACACGCTGGATCCTGAGAGAAGGTTCCGCCAGCGCCGGCAAATTTCGCATTTCCCTACATGTTTGGGTACTCGGCGCGGCGGCTCCTACGAGAGGGTCGCACAAGCATTGTCCAAATTCGCACTTCGCTACACGTTTGGGCACGCGACACGCCGGATCCTGCGAGACACTTCACGCGGAACCGACAGAATGTGCACGTCGCTATGATTGGACACTCGACAGGCTGGATCCTGCGAGAGGGTCTCGCAAGCATGGTCCAAATACACATTTCCCTATATACACGTTTAGAGCACACCGGATCCTGCAAGAGGGTCGCCCAAGCACCGGCACAGTTCGCACTTCACCGCGCGTTCAAGCAATTGACACGCACGATCCTGAGAGACGGTTGATTCGACGACCGCAGAATTCGCATGTCGCTACACTTTTGGGCACTGAACAGGCCGGATCCTGCGAGAGGGTTGCTTCTGGCGTTCTCTCGCTTGGTCCGCCCCGGCTTTAAAGACAATTGATTGAAAGATGCTCGAGACGTCAAGACAAAATCATGGCCAAGTCTCCTGCAAATGATATATAAAACTTGGTCAAGTCTCTTGCAAGTGCTAGTGCTAAAGCCTGAGCAAAACTCTTACAAGTGCTAAAGCCTGTGCAAGATTTTACAAGTGCTTAAATTTTGGCTTAAATATATGGTGCTTAAAAGCCTGAGCTAAACTCTTGCAAATGAAGTGGCGGACGTGTCAGACCAAGTGCCTTTAGTAAGAGCCCTTCGACCAAGTCTTTCGGGAAAAAAACAATTGAATTTAGATATTCTTCAGTATCTTCTTCATATGGGGGGTTTATGAATCAAAGAGTCTACCGTTCGACATGCGACCATGGCGAGATGATTCGGCCAACCTCAAAAGCATCTCAAAACATGACATTCCTCCCGGAGAACCGTGAAAAAACGTGACGAACGAACTCTCGCGCTCTCTCTGCCACAGCTCCCACCGCTGACTCGTCAAATCAAGCAAAAAAGCTGGGCTGCTGGGCTCCCTGGCCGGGCTTCGCCACGTCGGGACTCGGCTGGGGTGAATCACAGGTGGAGCAACTGGCGCTTGCCTCATGTTCCTGGCAGGAAGTGGATAGCACCAGGGACATAATTCAAACAAAAACAGACCGTCTTGCTCCTGAACACCGAACTCGAGGCCTTGGACAAACTCGAGGCCTTGGACGAACAGCCTGGTTGTTGAAGGAGCCCTTTTTGGGTCCACCGGCCCTTCGCTCTTGGCGAGTTTGATCTGGCACAACTATTTCCAAAGATACTGTAGGCATCTGTAGGCGTCTAGGAGTCAGGAAAATCGACCAGGATGACCGAGGTGCAATGTGAGTCAAATCATTCTGTCATTTATGAGAGAGTTGGCCAGAAACTAGGCGGGACACATGAGACCCTGGGATACAGCATCCAGCGACGTTAAAACTCCGCATGCGCACAGCCCAAACCCATCTAGACTCAACTGGATGCTATGTCAATTATGGTCAATCCACCTCCTTTCGGGCCAAACATCCCTGCAGGTTAGACCACGGACCATCAATGGAGCCAGCCACGTCTCAGTCTCAGCACCCAACCTCCACAAAGACCCCCTTCTCAGCACCCAACCTTGGGCGCGGTGCAGACGGGTCTCCGGACGACGGGTCGACGTGCGGAGGCCCAGTTGGTGCGAGGACGGCGTCGACGAGGACTTGTGGGGATCCAAGTGCTGCCACTGAATCGTGACTATAGTGCTACTAGAAACAAGAAGCTATAGACTAGGGCTACCGCTACTGCCAACTAACATAGCCTCCCTTAAGGGGGCATGGCAAAGTGCCCTGTATGCGACAATTGAGGTTTAACCCTTTGTGCCCCATGTCATCCCAGTCATCATGGTGTGGCCGTGTTGCCATAGTTATTTGCACTGGGGGGTCGGCTGAGGTGCGGCTAAGTGCTATATAGAAAGAAAAGGGTGTCGAACATGTGCTGCCTCAAAAAAATTGAGTAGGCTGGTTGGCCCCCCTCTCAACAAAAGGTTGTGGTATTTGGACAGGTCTTGCGAAGGAAAAGGCACGGGAGCTGCATGTTATTAAACACTAAGAGAAACATGTCTCGAAAAGCAGTCTTCACAGATCGGACGACGGCAATCGCTTCTACGCTATTCGTGTATATATATATATATTATATACAGTATTATAACTCTAAATGCTTTTAACATGGATCGGGTCAGAAACTAGTACCGCTTCCGCAGGAAAAGAATGTCACGTGACTTCTGCAGTGCCCATCAGGCCCTGCAAAAGCAGCTTCACTCAAATTGATGCCGCAGGGACTGCGCAAGTGTCTCCTCGTCCAAATGCGACAATCCTGCATGGGCAAGAATGGCATTGAGGTCGCTGGGTGCCGACCTTCACTTGGCATTGCGGCATTGATCCAACTAGTGAAAAATATGGATACATCCAGGACCCAATATCCTTACATAATCACCGCGCAACAAAATCCCAATGTGGCAACAACTTGGCAAGCACATGCAAGCACGGAGCAACTGGTATGTGAATGTGTTCCAAGAATTGCCAGGATAGGTACAGCAACCGCATTCCAAAATCCACCTGAAAACCCAAAATCACATATATATATATCCCCATGAATGGCAATCTGGCACCATCGAGAAAGAGAGGCTTGCTTTTTCTAGACCCCGCTTAGGCAGTGGTTCAGGGGCACTCGGCACCTGCCTAACTTGATAGTTCCTGGACCAGCACGTCATGGGAGTCGTGTGTCCCCGTGCCTGTGAGAAGGTCTGCCTGGGAGAGGCACTCGGCACAAAGACCATCGCCTGCACAGGGCAGGAGAGATTCTGAAATACCCGAACCAAGGGCACTAAAAGGACTTGGATGGCGAGTTGAGAGCTGGTGACGGTGGTGGTAAGGAAATCCTCCAGGTATCCAATCAACGCATACTTGATCCCCACTCCTTCCGCTCGCCTTCTGCCAAGCGATCCCAGGGCTGTTGCACTGTACAGCTGGAGCACTCCACCATGAGCTGCTCGTGTGACGACGTCTCTTCTTCAACAGGTGAGCCCGCCACCTCAGGCGGTGCGTTTAGCTTGTACGGTGCGTGTTGACCTGAATAGGACGGTATTGGCCACGGCCCAGGGTCAAAATGAGTCCGAAGGCCAACAAAGTTGCGGCATCTACGCTGAAACTGTAGATCTGATCTAGTCCGGCAATGTGACATTAACAAGATCCGTGAGAATGAGGATCAAATGAGGTCACAAAAAACCTCTGGAAAGGCCACTTGGGAATCCCACGAAGGGGCCGAAGTGGGCACGTTTGATAATGTGCAGCAATCATAGACTACTTTCCAGATTGCGTTGGGATCTTGCCAAGCAAAGGATAGACTAGTGAAAAATCCCATGTTTAAATACAGCAGCAATCAAAGGAATTTATCAACCAGCAATAAACGATAGACTCAAGCGATATAGATAGACTTATACATTGGTTATATCCTATTACCTGTAACGGTGGAGGATGGTGGTTAGTAGAGGCCTTGTCCATATATATATAATATAATATACTTGTTGACTGACTGTTACAGGATGTTACAGGTAACAGGTAATAGGACAAACCCAAGACTTACATATCTTTTGTCGTTTCGGGTCGTCCAAGTTCCTGATTCCACACGCCTTTCATGGCGAACACACCAGGCCCGGTGGCCCGAATAAGCTTGGGGGGCACGTTATTTTTAAAGTCTCATCCTAGAACTCTTTCGGATCCTTGGCCTTTGGGACCCCTGGCCTGGGAAAATACCTGTGTACAAATATGGTACTTAAGCACTTATATAATGCATAAAACCTCACTGCTGAGTGCAAAAGGCCCCTCTTGACTGGGAACACTTCAAATGATAAAACGCACATCGGCAGCACTGTCGAAATGTACGCTGGCTTTCTGGGGATTCTCTTTGAGTGGACCAATCTAACTATGCAATGGGACTGGCTGTGTTGACGACATTGCCCTGTTCGCACCCCGTGTACCTCGCAGTCCCTGGAAGAAGCAATATAGCGCATGCAAACACATGCGCCCAAGTGAAAGCAACATGAGACCCGCCCTCTGGGGTTCCCAACTGGAACGTCGGTGTGATCAGCAGCACCTTTGCTTTCCTTCTCGGCCTTTTTCTTGGCAATGCGTTCCGCCTGTTGCCCTGAGAGCAGGGCACATTCTTGGTGCATGTCCTTTCCTGGAAAACAAATGGTTGTGTTCTTTGATCCATCTGTTCCCAACCCTGATTATTTCTGACAGGACATCTTTGTAGCTTGATGTATACCGGGGCCCGAATAGATGGCACAGATTTCTGGTAACAGTATGATGGCACACGAAAATTTACGACCTCATCAACTGGAGAGCCTAGAGGACTAACCCTGCAACGTGTAAGATGGCACATGGGTCACTCCAGGACAACACCACAGGACTCTAATATGGCACAAGGAAAACGAATAGAAATGATCATTATTTTAAAAAGAAAACAAAAGGAAATGAGCCTTTTTACAGGGAAAATGAAAGGAAACTATACTTTTTTAAAAGGAAAATGAAAGGAAATTACTATTTTTAAAAGAAACATGAAAGGGAAGGATCATTATTTTGAAAGGAAAACAAAAGGAAATGATCATGTTTAAAAGGAAAATGAAAGGAAATGAGCATGTTTAAAGGGAAAATTAAAGGAAACCATAATTTTTTAAAAGGAAAATGAAAGGAAATTACTATCCCTAAAAGAAACATGAAAGGGAAGGATCATTACTTTAAACGGAAAACAAAGGAAATGATTCTTTTCCAAAAGGTGCACTAAGATGGCACACCACAGGAAGCTAAAGGAAAACGATTAGAAATGATCATTCTTTTAAAAGGAAAACAAAAGGAAATTAGCATTTTTACAGGGAAAATTAAAGGAAACCATACTTTTTTAAAAGGAAAGTGAAAGGAACTGATTATTTTTAAACGGAAAATGAAAGGACATGATAATCTTTAAAAGGAAAATGAAAGGAAATGATCATTTTTACATGGAAAATTAAAGGAAACCACATTTTTTTAAAAGGAAAATGAAAGGAAATTATTATTTTTAAAAGAAACATGAAAGGGAAGGATCATTATTTAAAAGGAAAACAAAAGGAAATTACTATTTCCCAATAGGTGCACTAAGATGGCACACCAGAGGAAGCTAAAGGAAAACGAATAGAAATGAACATTCGTTTAAAAGGAAAACAAAAGGAAATTAGCATTTTTACAGGGAAAATTAAGGGAAACCATACTTTTTTAAAAGGAAAGTGAAAGGAAATGATTATTGTTTAAAAAGAAAATGAAAGGAAATGATAATCTTTAAAAGGAAAATGACAGGAAATGAGCATTTTTACAGGGAAAATTAAAGGAAACCACATTTTTTTAACAGGAAAATGAAAGGGAATTATTATTTTTAAAAGAAACATGAAAGGGAAGGATCATTATTTAAAAGGAAAACAAAAGGAAATTACTATTTCCCAATAGGTGCACTAAGATGGCACACCAGAGGAAGCTAAAGGAAAACGATTAGAAATGATCATTAAAATAAAGGAAAACAAAAGGAAATGAACATGTTGAAAAGGAAAATGAAAGGACATGATAATCTTTAAAAGGAAAATGAAAGGAAATGAGCATGTTTAAAGGAAAAATGAAAGGACACCATACTTTTTTAAAAGGAAAATGAAAGGAAATTACTCTCTCTAAAAGAAACATGAAAGGGAAGGATCATTACTTTAAACGGAAAACACAGGAAATGATTCTTTTCCAAAAGGTGCACTAAGATGGCACACCAGAGGAAGCTAAAGGAAAACGAATAGAAATGATCATTCTTTTAAAAGGAAAACAAAAGGAAATGAGCATTTTTACAAGGAAAATTATAGGAAACCATACTTTTTTAAAAGGAAAGTGAAAGGAAATGATAGTCTTTAAAAGGACAATGAAAGGAAATTATTAATTTTTAAAAGAAACATGAAAGGGAAGGATCATTATTTAAAAGGAAA